ACGCAACCCCAGAGTTTTCAAACTAAAACGGGGTCTGCAGCATTTTCAAAAGTCTCCATTTTCGAGGGTCGAAAACGCCGGAGTTAAATAAACGATAGGCGTAACCGTAGCAAAAGTTATGCGTTTTAAAACGAAATGCACTAGTGTCAGTATGTGTTCATACTTGTCATGTTTGGTTCGATTAAAACGAACCCTGGTGCGATTGCTCTGTTAGTGCGGTTTGTTTGAGTAAGTGTGAATGCTGTCATCCGAACTCTGGTGCGCACCAAACAAGAGGACCGAGACCGCTAAAAAGATGGGTCTCGGTCCGAACGAACTCTGGTGTGGTTTGAATGAAATATGAACGCAATACGGACCAAATACTTCTAAACAAACCAAAAACAGGAAGTAATGACAAGATGCGACGCTATGCGAAATGATTTGATGACGCAGAACGAGCGGTGTATCCAAAACAAAATGAGCAGAGGGCAAACATGGAGCAACGAGGAGATAAAGTGCCTTTTATGAGCTCTTCGTGAGTTCACAGGTGGTGAAAATAAAATCATAAGTACACGCAGCAATGAGCGCGCAGACGGCATTAGGTGTATTTGACTTAAAGTGGCGCTGAGCAGACCGATCGGTGAATGAATACTTTGATGTCATACTGTTTGGTCTGTGCAGCGTCGCTTTAAGTCGAACACAGCTTTTGTTTGGGGTGTTCGGTGAGTTCCGTTGCAAAATATTCGTCATTCAACTCGACCAATCAGGTTGTGAACGTATCACAATGCCTTTAGGTTCGGTATCTTTAGGTTCGCTGTTAAAAATGCCAATGTGAATGCTAAGCGGACCAGGACCAAATGTATCATTTTCTTTTTTGGTCCGGACCAAACGAACCAAGAGAACAGAACTACAGGTTTAAATGCACCCTAAATGGGGCCTTAGTAAAGTTCTTCAACAACGAGCTGCATCTCCATATTACAGAGAGGTCAAGTTTACACATAAACTTAAGCACGTTTTGAAGCATGATGTGAGAACATTGTGAAGTTTGCACAGGAAGTGACAACGAAGTGGAGAAGACTATCACTTCTCATGTGAGCTTCACAACGTGCTTATATCTATGTCAAATGTATTCTCAACACTTTCATGAATGTGTTTACAACATTTGGCTAGAGGCAATGGCTTTATAGTAAAAAAATATATTAGGATGTAGTAGGCATAGTGCTGGGCTATATACCAGTTCAAACGGTAAACCGGTTTGAATTAGGCACACAGTATGATTTTTTTTTTTTTAACAAGTGGCTAAGCAATGTAGACAGCGTCCTGAATTGAGAAGAAATCTTTGTTAACGGCATACACTTCTGACTAATTGTTGGAGAACTTTTAGAAATATTACACACAACTAATTCTTTAACATATAAACCAACTGTAAATGGCCACTAACAGAAGCCAGAGACGCTGAAGATGAACACAAAGAGGAGAAAATACTGTAGCAGGCAGAGCAAACTCACTTCACCATGTGCAAAATATTGGAACAAAATACTAAATAATGAATTGGAGGTGGGGGTTTATATAAATGTATCTCTGAGGGGAACTGACTCTTACCTCCATACAATGCATATTAATGTGGTATTTAAAAGCACAGCGCTGCTTTGTTTACAGCAGTAAGCAAGGAACCACTTTATCGCTGCTGTTCCATAAGCGCCACCTGTTGTCAGAGAATGAATTTGCGCTCACATTCAGCCCGTCTTCTGTTTCTGTTTCGTGCAGACATGTTTTATGTAGCATAATTTCACAAAGCTGAGGTCAGACCATTCTGTTTTTGCTTCAGATTTAGAAATTATACAGTCTAATTTACATCAAAAACTGTTCATGTTACATGTGGCATGATTGTTTGGATCGTGATTAAAACGCAGTGGTTCTGCAATTGTTTCATGCATTCTGATTCATATAAAGGCACAGTCAGGGAAAACTCTGTGATAAACCGTGAAACCGTCAGAATCCTAAAAAAAAAAAGGTGATACAGATTTTTGGTCAAACCGCCCAGCACTATTATGTAGTATATAGTATATATTAGTATGTTTCTTACATGCACCTATTGTTGTGTGACATTGATTCATCTGCTGGTGTCATATGGATTAATGTCATAATGACTGGATGTGCTTTTTGAGTGTCAACATTCTGGCACCTGTCACTTCATGATCACAGAGATGGATTATTTGTCTACAAATCTTCATTTGTGTTATAAGATCAAGAAAGAAAAAGCCATATACATCTGGGACGACATGAGGGTGAATAAATTTGAATAAAATAAAAATAAAAAAACATTTGGGTGGACTCTCCCTTTAGAATTATGTGAAACAATGCAGTGCTACAAAATTAGAGCAAGTAGTGTCGTAACAGGCCACCAATCATAAACTGCCTCAGTGTCTGCCTCATTGAATATTCATGAGCTTTGTACAGATGCTTGAGCTTTAACATGCTGTGTCTAGTTTCAGAAATAGGTAAAAACGTCAAACGGTGATGGCAAATCCCTCTCTGCATTTTCCTTCAAGTGTTTAGTCATTGTTTTGTATTACGTCTTACGATAACCAAAGCAAATACTGTATTTGTGACAACATCTCCACACATAGACAAGCAGTTATTAAAAGAGGTCGTGCTCTTGTTGTGTAATCTGCTTGTCCAGGCAATGTTATTAACCTCATGAATATGCAAATGAGAATGTTCATCCAGGGTTTACGGATGTACTGAGTGATAAGCCAAAATGCTGAGTGATAAGCCAAAATGCCTGCAGGTTAACGATTTTTATGAGTGAAGGTTCACGCTTCTTTTGTTGTATGTTAATGAATGTTGTATGTTCTGTTGTATGTTAATGAATGCAGAATACTTACATTACCAGGGTTTGTGTCACTGCTACATTTTGAATTACTATACTATCTTACATGTGTGCTTGTATATTGGAGAGCTGTATTTTTAATGATATTTTACAGAACGAGGGTGCAGTGTCAGTGCTTAAAGAGTGTGTAGCAATGAAACCACAGGACCCCATCCCACCTTTGCTTGCAGCAAAAGTGTGCATCAACCAGCTGCACTGGGTGAGAGAAACACAACACATGTGCACAATATGCAGATTCATTCAGCAATAAATAAATAAAATAATAAATAAATAAAACAATATTTATATTTAGAGCAGTTACAATATAGAGCAGTTCCAGCCTCTAAAAGTACACTTAAGTTTTTTAAAAATAAATTAATACTTTTATTCAACAAGCATGCATTAAATTGATCCAAAGTGACATTAAATACATTTATACAAAATACTTATTTTAAATAAAGCTGTTCTTTTGAACTTTATATTTAACAAAAAAACGCAAAAAAAAAAATGCATCAGATTTTTCAAAAAAAAAAAAAAATTAAGCAGCACAACTGTTTTCAACATTGATAAGAGAAAAAATGTTTCTTGAGCATCAAATCAGCATATTAGACTGATTTCTGAAGGATCATGTGACACTGAAGACTGGAGTAATGATGCTGAAAATACAGCTTTGCATCACAGGAATAAATTACTTTTTAAAATATATTCAAATAGAAAACAGGTATTTTAAATTGAATTAATGTTTCACAATATTACTGTTTTTACTGTATTTCTGATGAGTGTAAGAGACTTCTTTCAAAAACATTAAGAATCTCATTGACCCAAACTTTTGAACCATAGTGTGCAACATCCCAGCAAAAGGAATAAGTATGCTTTATTCTATGAATGAAATAAGCAATATGCGTTTCAGGAAAATTCATTGGAAATATTCACTTCGGCATCCATATATCCTAATCCCATAAATCCTATATAATCCTAATATATTTATATTAAAACTAGCTATGCTCATAGCATTATTAATTTAGAAGTGATGTTTGATCCAGATCAAACTAGAACTGTACGAGAAACATTAAATCTGTTTTTTCAGCCTTTTTATAATACTCAGTGTGCAGTTTACATCACTCAATCCTAGAAAAGATCTAGATTCATATCACTAATGACCTCTGTTTTACATTAGTAACATTGCTGTACTATTTATACTAATATTGCAATGTACTGTACAGTCACAACACTATCAATCAAATACACACTGCAGCACTGTTGACAGAGATTACGGCATATCTGTTGGAAGCGCAGCGCTGAATACAGACAGCACGCCATAAGAGGCTTATAGCACAATAGAGCCGTATAGCCACAAAAACGTAATGCAAAGACTTTAATGTCAGATAGCATGCCATCCCACAGTCACACTTCAGACCGGCCCTTTATCATCCCAGCATCAAAACAGGGCATGCGGGGATTTGTCCTCAAGCAGTTGACCTTGATGCTGATTCATGTCAGCATGTCTGGCATTTCAATTCAAGAATATTATATAATATTAAGTCATGACTACATGATTAAATAAAAAAAAAAATTGTTGCAATTTCGCATGATATGCTTGCATTTGACATGGCCTTTTTTCTGTTTATACACTACCGTATTTTTGTTACCGTATTGTACCGTACACTACAATTTTTTTGTTTTTGTTTTTTACGTTTCTTTTTTCTTGTGAAATATTAGTACAATTTAACTGTTTGTTATTTTAATATATTTATACATGTAATTTATACCTGTGATGGCAAAGCTGAGTCTTCAGTGTCACACGATCCTTTAGAAATCATTGAAATATTTAGTGCTCAATTATCATCAGTAATTATTGCCGTCCAATTATTAAAAATGGTTCTTATTATTGTCAGTGTTGATAACAATTTTTGGAGCTTGATATTGTGGTGGAAACTGTTTGAGTATCTAAAAACATTTTTTGTAATGATTTTCTAACATTTTCTTAAGGATCATGTGACACTGAAGACAGGAGTAATGATGCTGAAAATTCAGCTTTGACATCTCAGGAATAAATTATATTTTAATATACAGTGGTGGCCAAAATTATTAGGATACTAGTATTTTCTCAATAAGTCAGTTACTCTCTTAAGTCAGTTATTTCTATCATTTGCTGTAGTGTGTCAGTAGGAAATATCAGTTTACATTTCCAAACATTCATTTTGCCATTAATTGTAATAATCCAATGAGAGTTTTAGTTTGCACAACAGCCAGTGCTCCACAGAGATCTGATCTCATTATCATCCAGTCTATCTGTTATGACATGAAGAAACAGAACAAACTGAGACAAACTAAATCCAGAAGAACTGTGGCAACGTCTCTAAGATGCTTCAAGAAACCTACCTGCAAAAACAGAATATTAAATAGAAATAGTGATTTAAATTGTAATAACTTTTCTCAATATTACTGTTTTTACTGCATTTTTGATCAAATAAATGCAACCTCTGTGAACACAGGAAAGACTTCTTTAAAAACATTACACAATCTTAATTATTGAAAACTATTGACTGGTAGTGTACATGCAGTTTTTATGACCTTATAATAATCGAGCAACACATTTGAATCTAAAATCTTATTTTTTTACAATTGCATTTACATTTATTCTTTTAGCAGATGCTTTTATCCACTTTTTATTAAAAAAATGTATTTAGCTTAAGCTTTTGTTCTAAGTGAATGAATTGTTCTTTGTTGGGTTTAATCCCTTAACCTTTCAGTTTCCAGCTCAGATCTTTAACCTCTACACTACACCACCAGTATATCTCATTGTAAGTTGAGAAGCACTGATATAAATCATCCAAACATCTAATGCATGTGTAAATGTGTGTGTGTCAGCTGGAGGATGCAGTGTCCCTCTCAGCAGGTGTGGTTGCTTTAGGAGAGGGTGCTGGAGAGTTCCTTCCTCGAGCTCATCTGGCCATCGGACTGTGCCGTAGTCTGCAGGCCTCTGACGGTAAGCCCGGCCTGTATCCTTCTCTGAACCTAAAAATGATCCAGGCCCCCAGCTGTCCTCAGCTGCTCTGTGCTCCCTCATGTCTGCGGTGACTCACTCTTTAACTGTGTGTTTGCAGCTACGCTGAAAGCCGACCGCGATGAGTTCAACAGAAGAGCGCTGCAGTCACTACGGAAGTACGCTTGATGTTTACCTCTTATATTTCAGCATGTGTACTTAACACAGATTGTGTTAAGGAGGCTTCAGCCACCCACTTTGTGTGGGAATTGTTTCAGTTTACCCTTTGCTAAGTTTATACCATAACTTTTATTAATATTAGCATTATTTTTTTTCCCTCAAAACCACACCACCGTTTAAAAGTTTGGAGTCTGTGTGATTTTTTTTAAAGGTTTTTGGAAGAAATATCTTGTATGTCCACCAATGCTGCATTTATTTGATTAAAACTACAGTAAAAACAATACAATTTTGAAAAAAAAAAACTTTTCTATTTTAAAATATTTTAAAATTTAATTTATTGTGGAAAAGCTGAATTTTCAGCATCATTACTCCAGTCTTCAGTGTCACACGATCCTTCATCAATTCAACATTAAGCTCAAGAAACATTTATTATGATTATCAATGATGAAAACAGTTGAGCTGCTTATAATACATTTTTGATTATTCTTTGATTAATAGAAAGTTCAAAAGAACAGCATTTATTTAAAATAGAAATATGAAAACAATGAAATAGAATCAATGTAAAAGACTGCTGTTACTTTTTATCAGTTGAATGCAGCCTTGCCGAGTAAAAGTATTAATTTCTTTAAAAAAAATCTTACTGACCACAGACTTTTGCACAGTAGTGTATCTACAGTATATGCAGTTTTTTCAGTTAAAAACTAGTGCTGTCAACAGAAGAAAATAATCACAAATAATCTCATGATTATTGATCAGTATTTTTAAAACAGACTGAAATTGGTGATACATAAATTTGGTGAATGTCCACGTAAAAAAAAAAAAAGACTTTTTACAATAAGCATATTTATTAATGTTAATATCTTGAGTTCACTTTTTTTCTTATCATGGTTATGTAGTTAATGTGTTATGAAAACTTGATTCTGAATCCGAATCTTTTCATTTACAAAATTTTTAACCACATTTTTTAATCATGTTGCTATGCAGTTCCTAAAAACATTTCAGAGTCACAATTAATTGCATCATCTAATCTTAGTAAGGAGTCAGTTGTGAGATGACTGGCTGATGTCAGACTGGTAATAAGGTGATGGAAACTTCACACAGATTCTTTTTTGTCTTCAGAGCACATGCACTGGACCCTGGGGACCCAGATCTCCTTCTACCTCTCTCTGCAGCTCGCTCTGGTTCGACAGGTTAGCACGCTAACACATCAATCTCGCTGACTAGATGCAGAATCGCGTCTGTTCTTCATATCTTCCAAGAAAAGAAATTTACATTAATCTCTCTTCTTATTTTGCTTGACTGTGGATTTTTGTAGCTTTTGTTTACACATATGACTGTCAAGGTCACATGATTGTGTGAATAGTTCTTTATCTCATCATATTCCTACCCACTGTATGAGAGCTCTTGTGTTTGTGGTATAGGTGTCAGAAGCGATGGAGCCATTGCAGTCAGCTCTAAATATTCGTGGGGATGACCTGCACTCTCTACATCTGCTGACTCTACTGCTCAGTGCCCAGAAACACTACCAACACACCCTTGATACGCTTAAACTCGCCATTAACCAGCACCCGGACAACTTTAAGTATGTTTTATGTGTTTGTTCTACTTCAAATGGGATAGTTCCCCCGAAAATTAAAATTCTGTCATTGTTTACTGAACCTCATGTCATACTAAGGTTACACTTGATAGTCCACTTTCTACTAATTATAAGTAACTTTGCAACTACATGTCAGCTAACTCTCATTAACATTTTAGCAGACTGTTAAGTTAGGGTTAGGGTTAGTAGAATAAGTTGACATGTACTTGCAAAGTCAGTAGATTATGTGTTGGGGGAGCATCAAAATAAATCAAAAATTAAGCAGACTGAATTCAATGAAATTCAATGTTATTCAATAATTCAATGTTAGCTTCAGTTTCTGTTTCCTGAGATGCCTTCATCTGGCCGATTTTTTAAGAAGAGAGAGGACAATAAAATCATCCTCACTGCTTGAAGACTCCATTTAGTACTGTTTTGCAAATGTTTTCGCAACGGATTAATTAATACGCATCGGACTCAGTGTGCAAGGTTTCTGTGCGTGATTCATTTTTAGGATGACGAATACGAAAAAACGCATACAAAAATTTCGGATTCAGTGTGCAATGACTTTAAGGCTGCGTTTACGCTAGTGCATTTTCGTTTTAAAATGCATAACTTTTGCTACAGTTACGCCTGTCGTTTACACTCCGGAGTTTTCGACCCTCGAAAACAGAGACTTTTGAAGATGCTGAGGACCCCGTTTTAGTATGAAAACTCCGGGGTTGCGTTTCAGCGTAAACGGACCAAAACGGAGACTTTTGAAAACGATGGCGTGGCTGCCCACATTCGCTCTGCGTATCCTTGACGACCGTGTAACAATAACATCATGCTCGTTGTTGTACCCATAGATATGTATAGGTAGATTCCCCATTTGACCGCTACAAGCTCATAGATGCGTCCGCCATCTAAATAATAGGGAACATACCTATAAATATAACTATGGTTGTACCTGCATGAATGGTCATGTGACATGCGTTTTCGGTTGTGTAGTGTAGACGGAGATCGTGTAGACGAGGATGGTTTTTGTTTTAAAATGCCGTTTTAAAACGAAAACTCACTAGTGTAAACAGGGCCTACAGTTCATTTAAAGTGTTCTAAAGTTCCATGTTCTAAACTTCCAAAACGTTCTAAAAAGACATGCTCTAAAGTTCCAAAAAGTTGCTGGTAGCATTGACTTCTAGTTGTATTTTTTCCCTATGGAAGTCAGTGCATGGCTACCGGCAACTTGAACATTCTTCAAAATATTTTCTTTTATGTTCCACACTAGAAAGAAACTTGTACAGGTTTGGAACAACTAAAGGGTGAGCCAATAATGACAGATTGTTTTTTTTTATTATTATTCTTGGACTATGCCTTAAACTGCATTAGAAAACAAAATATCTGTAACCTTTTAGTATAGGGACGAATTCTCACTATTAACTAGTTGCTTATTACATGCATATTATTAACATATTGGCTGTTTATTAGTACTTATAAAGCACATATTCTATATCCCTAATCCTACCCAATACCTAAACTTAACAACTACCTTACTAACTATTAATAAGCAGCAAATTAGGAGTTTATTGAGGCAAAAGTCATAGTTAATGGTTTGTTAATAGCGAGAATTTGACCTTAAAATAAAGTGTGACCAAAATATCAAACCTAGTGGCATCTGAACGTGACTGCAGAATCTTTCTGAAGAACTGCGTCTTTTTTGTGTTTTTGATTTTAATCAGCTGTTGTTGCAGTTGTTTTAGATTTTAATGCATTGAGTTTCTAGCATTTCAATGCATTTCTAGTTTATCACATGATCCACTAACATTTGACTTAATTCCCAACTGTATCTACTGTTTCATAGTTTTAAACCTAATTTACTTTTTTGTGAAATGTGCACAGTGCAAATTTTATTCAGAATATTTTCAGTTTTTACATCTCCACGTGGGGTCAGTTTTGCACTCGAGACGAGAATGGAGAAAAATGAATTAATCAAGTTCATTGCAGATGTAAGGCATTTGCGAGTCCTTTTAAAACCTGAATGAATTAATAATAATTAATTCCCTTACAAATGAGTTAATTTCATTACACAGAGTAACACATAAGAGTGTAAAGACCCCCAGCCTCTCACACACTAACACACTGAATCTATTGTGTGTCACAGTGGTTATATTGTCGCACGTCTCATTCCAAGAACCTCTGCCTTTGAAGAAAACAAATCATCACTTTATCAGTGGAAAAAGTCAACTCAGCTTTCTTGAAACTGTGTTTGTTGATGTATGGGAGGAGGCAGTGGCGAGCGGTGACTTTTTTATGCTGAGTGATAAGCCCCCACATCGGCTTTTAGGACACTCAAAAGGGATCACAGATGACAAATAAGAAACACCGTGGCAGGTGTTGATTTAAAAGTATGCACATTTCCTACCTTATTTGTAAATTAAATTAATCTCCTATCCTTCTTTTATCGTTTCAGGTTTATCCATTGTTATTCGAATGCAAGAAAAATATAGCTGGTTTTCCAAGTAAAAACCGCCAAATAACGTTTACAGGTAGTTAAGTTATGATACGTAATCAGAGGGTGGGGAGATGGGGGGGTTCCCCCGGTCTATATGTCTCTCTGCATCAGCTAAATTCTTTTTTTATTCACAGTGAATAGGAGTTAAAACTCCCACCCGTGTGGCACTCCAATAACAGACCATGCAAAATACCCAAAAGTATTTAAAATGTTGCAAAGTAACGTTGCAATCTTGCAAACAATAATAAAATCAGAGAAGGACTTCAAGCGACACGAGCATACGCAAAACAATATGATGTTTGTTATGCAACTGATGTAGATTTACACAAAATTACTGCCGTTTGGCAAACAAATCTTTTTACGTACTTATTCCTAACTCTTTACGCTTCAAGTTACATTTCGAATTACAAGGGATCAATTTATAATCATGTTTATATGAATTATCCCGTGAACTTATTCTCTCAAATGGCCTGGGTATGCGGAGCATTCGCAGCTTATATGGACGAAACGCCACTGGAAAGAGGAAAAGTTAACAATGGTGCATGTAAACTAAAATCACATTTGATTACCTATATTACTTATTTAATCTGACATAATTTTCAAATTTACAGTGTAAATTTTAATTTCAGTATACTTTGTATATTAGAGTTTTAGTGCTTTTAAGTGATCTGAGTGAGTAGAGTGATTTTAAGTGAAATGAGGAAATGTCCTTTAACTTTTCCTCTCCATCGGCGAATGATGATTCTGAAAGAAAACGCGCCTGATGTCTGTTTGCTAAAGCAAGGAACGCTACTTTCATGCATCTGATTATCAGATAAACGATCGCGCTCTTATTTCAAGGTTGTTGTTAATGCTGTGGTTATTTTAACAGTTTCCTTCATACATTCGGTTCAACGACATTGTTAAAACACATTTATCATTCAATGGAACTGTGCTTATGCTTTAGACACTTACATTTTTGCTCCGTCCATGCAATAAATGCGCAGCCTTCGACTGCTCAGGTAATGTCGTCGTCGGTATGACCGAGAGCCACTGAAAAACTACAGAAAAGCAAAACTATTTCACTTTAGCATTACTGGCCACGAGTACTAAGGAGAGATCACACATCAGCTGCTCAAAAAATGTGTCAGTGAGACGAAAGGAGCGCGAGCGCAATCCTGTGACCACTGCAGGCGGGAAATAGTGGAGCGCGTGAAGGAGAGATGCGAGGCACGAACACTGTTCAAGGTCTCCATTAATTCGTGCTTGTAGTAATTTAATGTGTATATATTTTGAAAGCATTGAATCGCTATAGAAATCGCCTTCTTAGCGTTCGATTACTGTCCAAAATCGACGATTCACGATTAAAAAATCCATGTTTCAAGATCGATGCATTGCATCGTCAGGGTTTGTAATCGATGCATCGATAAAACTAGTGAATCGTTACACCCCGAGGTAATGACCATTTTGTCTGTACACCAATTTTAGCTTTAGTACTCCTGTAGTAAATGGGTGTAACCCTACTAGGGTAAATTCACATGTACTATGTACTTCACCACCACACTACTGCTGTTCCAGATCAAGGGCCCGTCGCAGCAGGAGCATCTGCTAGTCTCTCTGCATCTCTTTCTCACTGGCGTGAATGCTCTGCTGCCCTGTTTACACACACGCTCTTAATAGCACACACCAACACACACACACCTTCACATTCATCTCGCTTCACCCCTCCACCCTCCAGCACACACAGACGTCCACCCACTCGCTAAACCTTGCTAAAGAGAGGGACAGGTCAGGGGAAGAATGTCCCCAGACAGCTGCAGAATTGCTAGTTTGTGTTAGAAGCAGCTGAAGCATCAGCCACTGATGATGGAGAACTAGGGCTAGGGCTGAAAACTGCTATGTGTTAGCATTCATACCATCTCAATGGCAGTTGCTCGTCTGCACATTCATCTCAGGAAGTACGTGAATTAGATACATTTCCATCAAATCATGGGAAACAAGTAGACTGAGCATTTTTCATGCAAGAACAACAAAACAGTAAACCATATAACATATCTTGTATATAACACACCATTTTTAAATTGCAAAATGTACTATTTGAGTTATTATACCTTTAATCAAAATATAATAACTCATTTCATTTCTAAAATGAATATTTTTCCTACTCTCTAACTCCATTCTAACCCTCAGGATTTTTTCCTTGATTTTTTTTCTAGAGTACATAAGTGAAATGAGTTGATTATAACTTTGTCATCAGCAAAATCTTCTGGATATTAGATATATTGCACAGCCATTATATGTTTAATGCAATATGTGTTTTATATACACTACCATTTAGAAGATTGAGGTCAGTAAGATTTAATTTTTTAATAGTCATTTATGCTCACCAAGGCTGCATTTTTTTATCAAAAGTACAGTAAAAGCAGTAAATTCTAAAATATGATTACAGTTTAAAGCAACTGTTGTATATTCTAATATATTTTAAAATGTAATTTATTCCTGTGATTAGATAATTAGAAAGTTCAGAAGAACAATTATTTTTTTTAAAACCACACACACACACACACACACACACACATATATATATATATATATATATATACACACACACACATTAAATTGATTAGAAGACATTATAATGCTACTATATATATATATATATATACTGTCACAGGATAGTGACAGTGTTATTTTAGTATTATTAATATACTTTTATAGTATTTATTATTATTTTGAATGATTCTATTTTTAATTTTAGTAATTTTGCTATGTGCTTTTGACATTTTTATCAGTTTTTTTAAATACTTGTGTATTTAGATTTAATTTATTTTTATTTTATTTTAGTAATTTTAGTACTTCAACTAATTTGATTTCAGTATAAACACAAATGTTTCTAAATTTCTTATCTAATATTTATAATCTATTTTATTTCAGTTTTATTTCAAATAACAAAAACAATTTATTAATTTTAGTTTTAGTTAATAATAACAACATATATATATATATATATATATGCAATATACTGTATATTGTAGCATTATAATATCTTTTAATCGATTTAATGCATTCTTGCTGAATAAAAGTATTAATTAAAAATAAAAAATCTTACTGGCCCCAAACTTTGGAATGGTACTGGAAATTTATATAACCCTGTATTATCAGGTTTGATAATTTTACATCAAATATACAAAGCAAAGCTGTTTTTTTTTGGTGCATGTAGCACTAGTTTATTAACTGTTAATGTCTTTGTGTGTTTTAGTCTTCTCTTTACCAAAGTGAAGCTGGAGGTGGTTTTGTTCGGACCCGCTGCAGCGTTACAGACCTGTGCAGAAATGCTGCAGCTGTGGCAGAGTCGCTATGATTTAACCCGCCTCAGGTAACGTGCTGCATGTAACGTGTGAGAGTGAGTCAGTGTTGTATGCTGTGATTTCATGCATTCTGCTCTCTATTCCAGTGAGGAGGATGACACTAGCAGCATACCTCCTGATCCCGGGCCGCTGAGCAAGAAACCCAGCGGCCTCCATCTCACGCTCCCAGACTTCCAGGAGACAGAGACCGGTGTGTATCACGAGTGTGTGTGTGTGTGTGATTGTGTGTGTGTTTATGTGACTGAGACGTGTGTCATGTTGTGTCAGGGTCTCAGAGCGCCCCGTCTCTAGCAGTGTCCCGTCTGGAGCAGGCCATGTCAGAGGTGTCGGCCATCAGCTCCGCCCACAGGCACGGCCCCGCCTACATTTGGACCACCCTGGAACGCATCTGGCTGCAAGCAGGTACAGCCTAACTTCTTTTTTGAATATATTATTAAAAGCTATTATTTCTGGAACTTTTATTAACATTAATCAGGATTAAATTACTGGTCTTTAAATATTTGTGTAATATTTTAGAAAGGCATAAATAGCCGTTTGGCTGTTCGCTGACATTACTTTCCTGTAATCGTACAAAAAAGTTTTTTTACTTGTTGACCTTAATACATTTGGGAAGTCCTTGACGTACTATGACAGTATTTGGATGTTATTTTTGCGTTATTTATATGCTGCTCTGCATGAAATGTGTTTCCCAGGGATCTTATACTGGGTGTTTGTGCCCTCTTGTTCCCATTCCCAGCATTCCT